TCTATTCTCCCCTTATACTTCCGGCATCCCTTGCAGCTAGATGTGCCTCTGAGCTAAATTCTGGCCAAGAGGTATCAACAAAAGCCTGTGAGAATTTGGGGATCTTTTCTTAAAGGTAGGGACATGGGCTGCTTCTTCCTTTCCTTTTTGCTGCAGGCTGAAATGTAGCCAAGAAGAATTGCATTGGAGTAGACATCTCTACCATGAGGGAGATGCTGCATACTAGGGATTGAGAGGTTGTCAGAGAGAAAAACCTGAGACCCAAACAACTCTATGATGCAGTCCTAGCAGTCTGGCCTCCTACTTCCAGGCTTCTTTCACGTAAAAGAAATAAGTCTCTATCCTGCCTAAGATACTGTTATTTTGGCTTTTTTAGAAACTTACAGCTGAGCTGAAACTTAACTCATACACATTCACTACGATTATAAGTAGAATAAAAGATACTTAAGTCATATTTAGCAGTTGGTTTTATTTCCCCAGTTCATACTGAAAGTAGAACAATATATTTGCTTAAAAACAGAAATCAAAATCAATCAAACATAATTGATTGAATATGGATTGCAAAGAAGTATAAAATGGAATTTTGGCCCCGAAGTGGCTTTCTTCAAAATGAAGAAACATTTATATATTTGTGTATATATATATGTGCATATATATACACATATATATACACACACACATATACACACATATATATACACACCCATGTACTACACACATATACATACATAAAATAACAATATTAAAAACTCCATTGTGTAATAGTGTAATAGAACCAGTGGTGTACAGAAAATAAAACCCTTGGGAATTCAGAGGAAACAGCTGAAAGAGATGGAAGTTTGGACAGAGAACCTGGTTGTGAAGATTAAAGGAAAGATTAGGTGACAAGAAGAGGAAATAGGACACAGTGAATATATTGTCAATAAAATGAAAGAGTTTTAGGTTGATATCTTAATATGACATATTTACAGTCACAATTCAGTATAAAGGGTCTTTTGCTAGCATTCATGTCTTTCATCTGAGCTTAATACAACGTATAAGTTACCATGATAGACCTCAGTGTTCCACAGGTAGTGTTTTCAGGAAAACTGCAATTAGTGTCGGAATTTCTTCTATGAAGAGTCCTGCTATTTGTCTTCAACTTGCAGTTCTGTGGTCAAAGGAGCTGAGTGAATGATTGCAGTATAGTAATTGTGTCTGCAGAAGATATAAGCAAGGTGCTTTGTTAAGCAAAAACATTATTTGGTTTTGTTTTATGGGTTTGTTTGTTTTTGCTGGCAGCTTTGCTAGTCAAGACTAAAAAATTAGGGCATTTAAATAAAATATTGGAGTAAGAATAGTGGTTGTTGGCCGGGCACAGTGACTCATGCCTGTAATCTCAGCACTTTGGGAGGCCAAGGCGGGTAGATCACAAAGTCAAGAGTTCGAGACCAGCCTGACCACCATCCCTACTAAAAATACAAAAATTATCTGGGTGTGGTGTCAGGTGCCTATAATTCCAGCTACTCAGGAGGCTGAGGCAGGACAATCACTTGAACCCAGGAGAAGCAGGTTACAGTGAGCCAAAATCACGCCACTGCACTCCAGCCTGGGTGACAGAGTAAGACTTCGTCTCAAAAAAAAAAAGAAAAAAAGAATGGTGGTTGTTACAATTTCTTATATAATTAAATATACTCTTACTGCATGGTCTAGCAGTTGTGCTCCTAGGTATTTACCTAACAGATTTGAATATTTATGTCCCACAAAAACCTGCATGCAAATATTTATATAAGCTTTATTCTTAATAACCCCAAACTGGCAGCCACCAAGATATTCTTCAATAGGTGGACAAACTGTGATATATACAATAAAATACAATTGAGTGGTATAAAGAAATTAGCTATCAAACCTTGCAAAGAAATGTACGAACCTTAAATGCATATTGCTATGTGAAATAAGTCAGTCTGAAAAGGCTGCAGCTTGTATAATGCCATTTATATAATATTCTGAAAAAATCCATAGACCATTTTATTATAAATCAGTCATTGAATGAATAAATAACTGGGAAGAATACACAATTCTCCCATGTAGGTTACCAAATAATTTATGTAGATAATATCCCCTCAAGGAGGTGGAGCATAACTGCCTTCCCTTAAGTGTGGGATTCATGTACCAACTTCCTTCATAAAAAGCACAATGTGGAAAGAGGGGATAAAGAGTAACTCTGTGGTGCAGAAACTGACAAACACTGCCTCAGTCAGCTGATCAAGAATAATCTCATCAGTATTGTCAGGTTGATAGTAGGTATCTTTGACCTGATGTGATGAAAATGGCACTTTAACTCTGTGGTCTTTCTCCCAAAACCCACAACTTCAGCCTAATCGTGAGAAAAACATCCTGTACCCATATCAAGGGATATTCTACAAAATACCTGAGTAGTTCTCCTCAAAACTGTCAAGGTCAAGAGTAACAAGGAAAGAAAAAGAGAGACCTTAAGATGACAGAAGGACTAAATGCAATATGGTGCCCTGAATGGGCACAGAAAAAGAACAGCAGGTCAAAACTAAGAAATATGAATCAAGTATCAATATTGCTATAGTCATTTTATCAAGTGTATCATAGTAATGTAAGATATTAACCATAAGGAGAACTGCCTGTGACATATATGGAGATTCTCTGTACAACTTTTCTGTAAACCTAAAATTATTCTAGAATAAAAGATTGTTTAAAAGAAAAAGACAAAAACTAAACATATAATGGTGGTGGCCAGGGGCTGGGAGTGAGGTTGGGGAATGGAGAGTTACTGCTCAATGTGTACAGAATTTCTATTTGAGAAGATGTAAAAAGTTCCTGAGATTTATGGTGGTGGCGGTTACACAACAGTGTGAATATACCTAATGCCACTGAGTTGTACATTTAAAAATGATTAAAATGGTAATTTGTATCATGTATATTTTATCACAGTAAAACAAGAATTTCAAGAAGAAGCTCAGATACACAGAAAATTAGAGAAGAAAAACATCAGAAGGACTATAAACAAAATTTAAAAGTAGACCAACAAGAAAGCAGTGGAAAAGGAAGGAGAGCTGGGTAAGATGTACAGGGCCAAACACTCCCATTACTAGGACACCAGGAAAGAAAACACCTGTTTAGAAATCACAGAGAATAAATTAATACTCACAGTTTACTCTTGACTTCCTAATTTTTAAATTGTACACACCCTCTTCCAAAAACCTTACAACAGAAGGCAAGAAATACAAAACTTTTTGTTTATTAGTAAGTTAAATTTGATATTCAAAGTGGAAAAACGGAACAAAAAGTGGAGGCCCTGATATACTTTGTCCCTGAATACTGGCCCTCTGAGCTGAGGAGAGTTGGGGTAACCAGATATTATACACACACACGCACACACACATATATATTTTGTTGTTTTTGTTGTTGTTGTTGCTGAGACAGAGTCTCGCTCTGTCTCCAGGCACCAGGCTGGAGTGCAGTGGTGTGATCTCAGCTCACTGCAACCTCCCCCTCCCAGGTTCAAGCAATTCTTCTGTCTCAGCCTCCCAAGTAGGTGGGACTACAGGCGAGCACCACCACGCCCAGCTAATTTTTGTATTTTTAGTATAGACGGGGTTTCACCATTTGCCAAGATGGTCTCGATCTCTTTGACCTCGTAATCTGCCCGCCTCGGCCTCCCAAAGTGCTGGGATTACAGGCATAAGCCACTGCTCCCGGCCACCAGACGTTATATTAATGGGCTGGCATTTAGGAGCCAGGCATTACACTCAATTTTATGTATCATTTTAAACCCTCACTACAGCATTATATGCTAGTAATATTATTTTTCACTACAGAGCTAACATTTGAGATCATAGTTTTCTGTCAATGACTTGAATTTAGTAACAGTGAAAATTCGTAGACATAGGAATATAGCAGAATTTTTTAGTAAGGCTGTAACGTTTAAGTGAACTTAGCTGATCCTACTTATATTGGAGAATACTTGCTATAAATTCAATGGGACTCTGTCTACCAAGTCAGAGAAGTAGTTTAAATGTGCTGATGTATCTAGAGTATTACAGTCTACAGTCATGAAATGGAACCCTAGTTGTACAACTCATTAGCTATGTGCTGTCAAATTACTTAATATCTTGATAGCTCAGTTTTACCATTTATAAAATGGAGATAAAACAGGTTCTTTGCTTATAATGTTCTTTTTCCTTTTCTAATATCCCATATGCCTGCTTTTTATAATCAGAGATAGTGGCATTAGAGAGAGAAAGAGAGAGAGAGAGAGGAAGGGAGGGAGGGAAAGAGAGAAAGAAGGAAGAAAGAAAGAGAAAGAGAGAAAGAAAAAGAGGAAGGAAGGAGGGAAGGAATGGTCATATAAGCCCTATATTAATTGAAGTATCCTAGCTACAATAAAAAACAAACACCAGAGTTTCTTTTTTTTAATTTTTTTTTTAAGATGGGGTTTCACCGTGTTGGTCAGGCTGGTCTTGAACTCCCGACCTCGGGTGATCTGCCCACCTTGGCCTCCAAAGTGCTTGGATTACAGGCATGAGCCACCGTGCCCAGCCAAGAAGTCTATTGTGGGTGTTCTTTATATAAAGGTGACTTTCTTCTACCTGGTGATTCAGGTACTTAGGCTCTGTCCAATCTAACAGCTCTAGTATCCCCTGACGTCTCTTTGTCCTCGTAAAAAGGACACAAGGGAAAGAAAAAGACCTGAAATGACCCTCATCTCTTCCATTCACATTCCATTTGTGAGAACTACTCATATGACCCTCCTTAAATGCAAGCAAAGAGCGCTGTAAAATGTGACTGGTATTCAGGCAGCAATTTCCCTGTAATTCTTTGAACTCTGTAAGGCAAAGTGCAAATTTTGGTGGTGAATGAACCACCTCTGCCTTAAGCTCTGTGCGAGCCCAGTAATGCTGAACTGTGCAAACCCACTTGCCTGTGTAGAAGAGTAGCACCGTTATAGTAAGGACTAATGCAGTAATCACCAAGGATAATGGGGGCACTTAACCCTCAGCTTTCTAGGTGCCTTAAATGGTTTAAAAATAATTCCAACAGAAAATATTTATAAAGCATTCGGGAATGCTTATAAAGGATTAAAATAATATTAAAGAAATCATAGAGTCTCAGCATTAAATGATTTTAATGCAACAAAGTTTCATCATACTGTATTTTTCTTCTTAACTTTAAAAATAGACTTGCAGAATAGATATGGCATAAAGTGAGACTCCATAGTGTCTAGAATTTTTTTCATTGTATTTATACTGATAGTCTCTCTCTTTTCCAGTGTATCAACTTTTAGTTATATATTTTGTGTAAAAACAGCATCTGATCATTATAAACATTATTTAAGTAAAATAACATGCTTCTTATGAGTGCTTTAAAGTAAACCTCAGTGTTTATAAGTAAGAGAATTATTAAGAAGAAACCCTTGTATATCCACATGATTAATGTTACCAATCTCTAAGTGTGCATCCCAGTGGTTCTGGGAGATGCACAGAATATCTCAGAATCACCTGTAGGATTGCTATAACACAGATTGCTAGGTCCCAACCCCTGGAGTTTTCAGTTCAGAAAGTCTGGGATGTGGGCCAGAATATGTGTTTCTAACAAGTTACCAGATGATGTGATGCTGCTGGTCAGAGACCATACTTTTAAAACTATTGATTTTTCTGTCAAATAATGCCAAAGAAGATAAAGAGGAAGGTATCAAATCTACGCAGTTTCTCTGAGGTTGGACTACTTGATGTGTCCCAGCTTTTATGTTTTAAAAAAAATAATGCCGAAAGACATACAGTGCTTAAAACTCAGGTTAATTTAATTCCATAATCATAAGGCAGAATAGCACCAAATTCGGTACGTAGAGGCTTCTGTACTTAATTTTGACTGACCCACATAGAGCAAATGTGATTTATCTGACTTGAAATTGAAAACCCAAATAAGCTAGGTTGTGAAACATAGTAAGTTTTTATGATGGGGCCTGTAAGGAGACGTATGAGTTATTATAGGGATGACAGTGGTTAGGCTAAGGGTATACAGCAAATACATTGCAAAGATATTAAGGAAAATCACAAGAAAATTATAGAAGACTTTAAGGAAAAGCACTAAATATGAGTTCAGGGCCTGAGCTAAGTGGATTTTCAAAAAAAAAAAAATCCTGGGTATTTACTGTCTTAATCCAGAGGAAGTAATTTGGAGGAAGACTTATTTTTAGGTTTTACTTTCTTCTGAGCAAGAAGAAATATATTTTGCAATAATAAAAAAGTGATCTAGCCTCTTGAGTGCTCAAAGCCTGTGTTAAGGATTTTTGAGTTATTTAATTAGAAATCTTATGCACCCAGGGATAGTGACCTTGGTCAATATTTAGGCTTCAAAAAATGATTATGAAATTCAGTGTTTCTAAACTCTGGAGGACAAAGTGTTTTACCATAACGCTATAAATTGTGGGTTAAATGAATAAAAGTCACAGTGGATTCTTTTTTGAAAGTCTGGGGCTACCTGGAATCAGCATATAGGACCCAACTTCAAAAGGTGAACAATTATAGTAATCAGTAATGTATTTCTATGAGAAAATGACCTGGAGCAAAAAGATATCTCACAGACCAGGGAGGTAATATTCAAGCAACTAAAAAAACTAATGACTATTTCTTACAATGATCTTGCCGTTGGTGAAAAATTCTAATAAAGTAATTTTTTTCTTCTCCACTCTATTTACAAAGGAAGCATAAAAATAAGAATGTTGGCTGGGTGTGGTGGCTTACACCTATAATCTCAGCAGTTTGGGAGGCCAAGGTAGGCTATCTTGAGCCCAGAAGTTCAATATCAGCCTGAGCAACATAGTGAGACCTTGTCTTTACAAAAAAAAAAAAAAAAAAAAGGAAAAAAGAAAGTGAGAATGTCTTGATTTAAAGGAAGAAAAGGATTCAAAGAAATTCTGCCCTGCATTCTGCTGATGACAATTTTATTTGAGAATACTTTCACTGTCAAATGTTTCTTAGTTCCTCGCCCAATTTAATATTTCAGAAAAGTCATCCAAGGACTGTTTTCTTTTGTGGTTTTCTTTCTGGCAGCATTCTATGGCTGCTCTGTTCTTGGAGTGTTCTTCTGCCTTGACAAGGTAAAGTTCATGCCTAAGCATGTGCAGAAACTCAGGGTCAAGTGCACCTCTGAGCACTTTTAGAGTGAGTTTTTAAGGGGACAATGCTGTCACAACTGCTCTCATTATCAAACAGCAAGCCTTCATGATAGGCCTGCCAGGGAGGTGGTCCTGGCAGCCAGCTGCCTCTCTGCTTCTTTTTCCTTTCCCATTTACACTGTTGCGTATTTCTCCATCTTGCGTTGACTTTTGCCCAAGAATAGCAAGCCTATGGGTTGACCCTAGCATACCTGCTTTCCTTGTACTCCAGGGCCATAAGCTTGCAGAGTTACCATGGCGACATGGCCCATGGTTTGTCCTGCCCCATCTTGCTTTCTTCCTCCTTCTCTTCCTTTATTCCTTCCTTCCTTTGTCTTTAGCAGTACTTTTGATATGTAATAGAAAAGTACAGGACATAACAGGAAAAAGTCCCTCTGAAATGTTTTCGCATTTATGTTTTGCATTATCCCAATAGCCTGTTTCATTTGTGTACTTTAGGGTGCAATTGTATGCAATATCTTCTTTGGATTCTGTGCCACTTGCACTAACATTCTCTTGCCTTAATGTTGTCTCTTCTTATCTACTTATTTCCCATTTCTCATCTTGTAACTTTTTTAAAGATTCTATGCTTCTCACCAATTTATTGAAATAAACTGCACTGTGTTTCCACATTTCAGACTTTTTAATGAAGGGAGCAAATGTAAGAATTAACTCAGTTTCTCTTGAAGGTCAATTCAAGGATGTGTTGGAAGAAGACAAATGCCTTCTATTGTCCTTCTTTATTTTGTTTCTACCTACTGTTCTGAAGAAGCAATTGTAGTAAACATAAGGCCTTTTAAGAGGTTTTACACAATATTGTTTCCTTCCTCACTGTTATGGTGTGCAGATGGGAAGCATATAGGCATATTGCTCTGCAGCTTTCTGTTCAGAAGCTAAAGAATTCCATCAAGAGTATGTTTTTAAACTTCCTCTTGACAGCCACTAATCCACTGCCCACTTTCCAAATCTGTCCACATTTTACTCGAATAACTTAAATTCCTACACTCCCTCTTTAAAACATTTCAATGCTTAATTAACTTACAAAAAGGTCATAAAAATTCCCTCCTTTTCATGTTAGCTTTATTCTCTCTTCTAAATCTGTGCCATCCCTGAGTTATCCCAAGGTTTCTGGTGGGTAAACTTTATGTAGATGCCTGCTTTATCCTTGAATTTTGGCCTTGCAGTAAATATCTAGTTTGACCCCTTAATGACTAAATTATTTTTCTTTTCCCTCTTCCTACAGGATCTCCTCTCAAGAACAGTAATTCCTTCATTTCCCAGTCTTCCTATCATTGTCTTTAAAATCTGTCCCCATTCCACTTTTGGTCTGACAGTGATTGCTTTTTACTTACTCCCTCTCTGTTCATAAAGAGGTAGTAATACTAAATAGTGTTTGTGAAAATGCCTAGAAAAAAATGTTATTTACATAAAATCTTTTTAAAAATTATCCTTATTCATTTTAAGGAAAGTTTTAATGATAAAATGAATTATTTTATTCAACTTTGGAGTAGAGCTTTATATATTCTGTTATGGATAGATTTTTTTTTTTAATGAAAGTCAGAGTAGGTGGTAGGAAATAGAATAAACCTTTACCAAGAAAAAACTAAAATAAAGTGAATATAAACATATTTCTTTTTAGCTATGGATCTGACAAAAATGAACTCTGATTTGGGGATTGGGTAAACTGTTGTTTTTTATAGCTTTGTTTTTAGTAAGAAATATTTCTTTTTTGAAGTCAAGCACTGTCTCTTAGATGATGATGTGGAAAAGCTTTTGTGAAAACCATTTGCACATTAGATTGCATGGTATTTATGCTTATGTTTTTTGAGAAGTACTCAATATATTTTAAAACCTGATTAAAGATGACATAAGTAAAATATGATAAATTGTGACTGAGAACTCCTAGTCTTGATGAATGCTCATTTAGTGAGTATAATGATTAAAACTATTTTCAAGGAAATTTTTTAAACATTCAAAAAACATACAGAAATATATCTAAAGCCAAAAAGGTAATTAATAGAAAAACTATGAGTTTAAAAATAGTAATATGTGATTCAGAATAGTTTCAAGTTTAACATTATTTTCTAAGTTGATGATTTGCAAATGATAGCTATTTTGGATCATGTTCTCTGAACAGACCCAGATGCAAAGGGTGTAAACAAGTGATTTTTTAAGGAAGCTACTTCCAGGAGACATCAGTAAAAGAGTGGAGGAAGCAAGACATGGAAGGAGAAGTGTTAAGTAAGGGTGAGCTTTCAGGTGAAGTTCCAGCCTCAACTTAAGCTACTGAAAGCTCCAGAGCACAAATTACACCTGGATTTGCTTCTCCTGCACCTGTCAGATATAAGCTATCAGCCCTCTTGGGATATCTAGCATCCCAGGTACTTCTTGCTCTCTGCATACCTAAGTGAAGTGGCTCCAAGAAGCCAAAAGTAGTCAAAGGCTGCAAGCATCATTTGTTAGGAATAAAGTGCATAGACACTGGGGGATGGGAGTCTAGCCAGTAAAGGAGCCCAGCAGGGATCCAGGTTACTATCAACAGTGGTTCCTAAAGGAGCTTTAGGCAAACTTCCTGAGGAACTGGAAAATGGCTCTAGATTGAATTTTTTCAATCATTCATAGTTCTTAATATGAAGAGCTAGGTTCATTTTGTGTACTTACATTATGTTGAGATTGATCAACACTTGAATGAAAAAAAGAGTTTGCTTTTGGTAAATTTACAGCACTTAGGCAAAACCTTGGAGCTGATTTATTGATTGTTCTTCTCAGGAAAATTCATTAAACATGATATTCCCTTTCGGTCATATCCAGTCCCTATCCCCACAAATTAGCATCAGAAAAGA